GTTTTATTCACCTCAGTATTCCTCCACTGTATGTAATACAGTCCTTCATAAATTATATGTGCTAAGTAAATGTGTATTGAGTTGAAAACAAACAAATAAGAAACCAGCTGATATTCTTTGTAGAAGCAACTCTCTGGAGCTTAGTTTTTCCCAAATAAGCAACAGTTGGCTTCTTTTTTTTGTTTTGGGAAATATGATTTACATTTAATAAAAAAAGGGGCATGTTTTGAACTGTATTATTGGGTCATTCATATACTAGTAACCGTTCCTTTTCTCTGCCTTTTCCTTTTATTCCATTCTCGCACATAAGTTTACAGACTACTATTCCAAATAGAAATAAATCACTTAGGAATGCAAAGCAGTCGGTGGCAGAACTAATTGAAGTCTAGAGCTAATATATTTTGGCAATTCTTGAGAAGGTTTGTGAGAGGAACAAAGACTTTTAAATGTCTGAAGATGATGCTCTACTTTCTTCCCTTCAAATAACTAGGCTTTATACTTTTGCTTCAATTATGGGTACTGCCGGTGTCTTGTAAGGAGTTAAAGATACATTAGGGGCTTAACCTCAGAGAAGGTTGAGAGAGGAAAGGAATGGGAAATGAGTAGATGACTGTGCTGTGTCTAGTTCTCCCTGCCAATTGGGATAGTACATTCTGCCCTGGTGAAAAAACAAAACATGTCTTTCTGTCCTCAAGAAAGTAGTAGAAGACGGAAAGGGAAAAGACGCAAGGGAAAGCTTATTTCTGTATTTTTCTCACTGAATTGAGCAGATTATTTCTATGATTCCTTTTATTTATGATTTTTATGATAGTTGTCCTTTTTTTTCTAAATAGCTAACTTAAATAATTTCAATTTCAGTGTACCTCTAAATTCTCATTTCTTATATCCTCCAATACATTTAAATTCTCATTCCTATAATTGTAATTAGTAATGTTAATATTCTGTCATTGACTTTGAAAGAAGTCAGATAAAAATGCAATATTCACACTAAGCATGTCACACTCGCAGCCTCCAACAAATGTTTTTGCGGCCCAGCCAATATAATGGTATGTAAGAAATGTTTTAATAAAAATTTTGTAACTTAATTATTACGATATCCTGTTATAAATATTAATACTGAAGTACAATGTTCACTAATAACTGTTTACTATAATCATGTTGCATTCATTTTCTTTACGTGCAGGCACACCATTTCTCTCCACTACTAATAGCAGTAAATATTTTAGCAGCCGATAGCAACGTCATTAGTCTTTTTTTTATTGTTTAAAGTATTACATATGTCTCCCTTTTTCCCGATTGACCTCCCCTCTACCCCCCGCCACTCCTACTTCCCAGGATAAGCCCCCACCACCCCAGTGTCTGTGTCCATTGGTTATGTTAATATGCATGCATACAAGTCCTTTGGTTGATCTCTAACGCCTCCCTCACCTGCCTTCTCTCTGAGGTTGGACGGTCTGTTCAGTGTTACCTTGTCTTTGTATCTCTTTTTGTTCATCAGTTTATGTTGTTCATTATATCCCACATATGAATGAGATCATGTGATATTCTTTCTCTGACTGCCTTATTTCGCTTAGCATAATACTCTCCAGTTCCATCCATGCTGTTGCAAATGGTACAAGTTCCTTCTTTTTTACTGCAGCATAGTATTCCATTGGGTAGATGTACCACGGTTTTCTAATCCACTTATCTGCTGGTAGGCACTTAGGCTGTTTCCAAATCTTAGCCATGGTAAATTGTGTCTCTATGAACATAGGGATGCATATATCCTTTCTGATTATTGTTTCTGTTTTCTTGAGACATATTCCTAGAAGTGGGATCACTGGATAAAT